CCCTATGAAGGTAGGAGGCCAGCATTAAAGGTCAGCTGGTAGGCTGGGGTCCAGCTCATAACAGTCTGAGTCCTGGTTTCCTAGGTCTGGAGTTCTCATGGCTGAAAGGTGGTTCCTTTCCTATGGAAGGACTGTCTCTGTTTGTGGTGGTTTCGATCACGTGGGCTTCTATTTTCCAGGAATTCAGTTGATCACACATTCAGAAAATGGCTAGAGACTTCGTGTGTCGCTAACTGACCCCATAAACATATAGTCTTGATGTTCTCATCCTTGAAGATGGATGACTTCATAAAATTCTAGGCTAATTGGCCCTGTCCTCCCAGCCTCTACAGCCTCTAAATGACCAACATGTACAGCTGAGGGGCGATCTCACCCAGATATATAATAATAGGAGGTACAAAGTCAAGGTCTCACCTTGTTTTTTTATTATTTGTCTGGGCATCTATAGACCCAGGTGAAGAGACATGTTTCATATAAGAAATGGTGTTTAAGTCCTTTCTTCCGAGGGAGAAAAAATCTACAAATAATGCTCCTTTTTTTGTTTTTTTTGATACAGGGTCTCATCACATAGTTTAGGCTGGCCTTAAACTCACAGCAGTTTTCCTGCCTCAGCTTCCCAAGTGCTAGGATTACAGGCTTCCCATGTACCATCATATCCAGCATAAATAATGCTTTAATGAGGAGAAAGGAAGATCTGCATCAGTTTCAGGTTTGCTCCAGAATTCTCTCAGGGCTGATGTCTTGAGGAAGAGTGGTTTTCAGGCTGCCAATTTCGATTTCATCATTTCCTGCAGAAATCCAGCTGGATAACAGCCATCACCATAGCTTATTACAGTAGTGAAGTGGAAGTAATAAAAAAGTTCCTGATTATTAGACATTATTAAATAAAAGCCCATTTTGAGAGCTTTTTTTTACTAAGTATATAATAAAGAATAAATTGTTTTATATTATGTGTTAGACAGGTAGTTAGACATTAGTGGGTCTGAAGGACAAAGGGGTGGGCCAAATACCATGCTTTGCCAATTATAGTTAGGTAAAGAAAAAAGACTTTAATGTATAATACATCTAAAATCACTTGTTAGGTCTCAGACCTAAAGCAATCCCACAGGGTTAAAATTTATACGGAAAGGCAAAGAAAATAGAATGACTGAAACAGATTTGTAAAAGAGAATAAAAGGGGATGAATCCTTGCACCCAACTTCAAGACTTATTAAATAGCTCCAGCAATCCAGATTGTGTGAAAAGAGTGGAAGGAGAGAGGCATCGATGGTGGGACAGAATGAGGTCCTAGAAATAGATCTTTACAAATATACCCAACTAAGAGTCAACTCATGTGTAAATCTGTCCAGTGAAAGAGGGATTGAGTTTTCTTAAACAAATGACACTGAAACTACCAGACACTCATGGACAAAAGAAATCAGCTTTAATCTAAACTACCCAGTTTTGTAAAAATTAATTCAAAATGGGTCACAGCCCAATTAGACAATGTAAATCTACAAAACGTTTAGAAAATACAGTAGAAAGACTTTGGGACCTAGGCGTAGACAAAGAGTTCTTAGACTCAAATTAGTCAAAAGTATAAACTGAAATTTTGATCAATTTATTTTCATCAAAATTAAATACTTTTGTTCTCTGAAGGATCCTGTGAAGAAGTTAAAAAGAAAAGCTAGATACTGGGAGAAAATATTTGCAAGCCACTTACCTGGAAAAGGACTAATATTTAGTATATAGAAAGAGCTCTCAAAATTCAACAGCAAACATCAACATGAACAACAAAGCCATCTGATCAGAGAATGGACAAGAGACAGGAACAGACATTTCACCAAAGACGCCGCATAGCTAGTACGTCAAATAAAAAGTTGTTTAAAACCATTAGCCATTAGGGAAATACAAACTAAAGCCACAATGAGCTATTTTTACACATCTATCAGAATAGCTAAAATAAAAAACAGAGACATCATCAAATGCTGGTGAGGATATGCAGAAACACAAACACTGCTGACAGGAATACCATTCAGCAATATAAAGAAACAAACTGCTAGTACACACACACACACACACACACACACACACACACACACACACACAGAAAACCTTGATGATTCTCTAGAGAATTATGCTAAGTGCAAAAAACTGAGCCCAAGCCTATACACTGTATGATTCCACCGTAGTAAAATTCTTGAAGTGGCAAATTCATAGAAATGAAGAGCAGACTAGTGGTTGCCAGGGATTGGGGAAAGAGCCTGCAAGAATCTTGGAAAGTAGAGAATCCAAGGATCCTGGCATGGGCAGGAGGGCTGGGGGTGAGCTTAGTGTTCAGGAGGGAAAAAGGAGGCATGTGCCTGGAACTGGGAGGCCAGAGGGAGTGAGCTCAGGCCAGCAGTCGATCTGAACCCCAAGTCTTGTACGTATGCCAGATGAGAATGCGGTGAGTGTCTTCTGCCTTTGGACACATCCAGCAGTTTGCAGTTGCTTGTCTGCCTCCCTTGCTGCATCCCTGGCCTCTGTATCTCGGAACCTTGGGATTTAGCAGACCCATGTTGTTCCCAGGATAACTCCCCCCACACATCACTGGTCCTGTCAGATGTGCTCTCCTGAGCACTGGAACTGAAGATTCTTGTTCACTTTAGGGTCCTCTCTGTACTGGTGCGATGGAGGAAAAATGGAGGAACAAGCTTGTTCCGGGCTTCCATGAGTACACTGGCTTGGCCTCACCAGCACCCTTGGTTCCTCCTGGTGTCTGCATCCTGGTTCTCTTAGGGGGCATCCACCGCTCCTTGGGACTTCTTACTTGGCTCATATCTTCAGTTTGAATGCCTGAGCACTCCTTCTCCATCCCTGGGCTGAATTGGAAGCCAGACTTGGTCATGTTTTAAATGTCTGCATGTGAAGACTAGAAATGAGTCTTTACACAGTGAATGCAAGGAAGGGAAGTTACGGAAAGTAATTGTGTAAGAACTTTTGTCACCCATAACAGAAACTCAGTTCAGACCCACTTATAGGGGGAACCAAAATGAGGAATGTGTTCTCCCATGATAGACAAGTGCAGGGATAAAGACTTTGGCTCCTTTCGTGGCCTTGTTTCTCTTGTGTCAACTTTGTTCTCCGGCTGGATGGTGCTAAGATGTTCCCCAGCAGCTCCTGGTTGAAAGGCCAGCAGCTTAACCCCCCAAAGACGGTTGAGTTCCGGTTCCCCATGGCTTCAGCCAGAGCCCTGGGATTGAGTCTCCTGGGCCTGACCTGTGTCACATGGCCATTCCTGAACCAGTGACTGTGGCCGGAGGAGGCAGTGCTCTCACTGGCTGGGCCCAGTTTACGTGCTCACCCTAGAGGTTGGGGTGAATGGATGCTGGGAGGAAAGAGCAGTGGTTGCTGATCAGCTGAAGCTGAGGTACTCGGGAATCCCAGAATAAGTCTGTTTTGCCATTGTCCATCCTCGAAGGCTGAGCTTCCCTCACATCGGTACCAAGAGGGGTACCAAGTGGAGCGGGAATGTTCAGCTCCACTGCTCGGGAGAGAGTATCTGACCAGACCAGTGTTGGTTGGATGCCCAGCCTTTATCCAGTCCTCTATGGGGGAGACACATACTGGACACTGGCAGCAGGAAAGTTATTAGAGGGACCAGGCTTATACCCCTACGGACACTGAAGCCTTCTGGAAATTCTAAATTAGCTCTTTATCATGAAAGAGTCTGGGGAATTTATTAATGGGTTTGGCACTGGAGGAAACAGGTGATTATTAAAGATCCCTTAGAGAAAGGCAAAGCCCTCATTTGTCCCCTTACTTTCTTTCCGGGGTTCTCTGGGACTGACAGTGAGAGCAGAAGTGGTGCAGGGTGTGGCCACTCTGACCACAGGGCATGCAGGGGTGGGGCAGTTGGCAGGAGGGGAGGCCTGGAGCTCTCAGCAGTGCAGGGCTGCGGTAGCAAAACTGAACCCTTGATTTGGAGGAAACCAGTCATTGAGACAGAGCCTGCGGAGCAGGGACCTGGAGACCCTGCCAGGTGTAACTGGAGCCAAGCAGGTACCTCACTCCTGGCACTAAACATGGGTGTGCAGTCTGATCACAGGCATCAGGCAGGAGGCCTTTCCTGGGACTGAAACGGGGCCAGCTGAGTCTCCTAGCTCTGTCCCAACCTTCCTTCTTTCCAGGAATGGTTGGGACAGTCTCCAGCTGTGTGCTGGGCCCAGCATGCACATCATGTGAAGCCAGCCAGGCATCCTCACTGGGACGGGGTGGAGAAGTATGGTGTGGGCAGCCAGGCAGATGGCTGTAACTTTATCTCCCAGAGGGAGAGCTTGCAAACCAAGTCATGGAGAAGTGGGCTATAAGCATGTCAATATAGTGAGGACAACAAGGACAACAGCCCTTCTGGAGAGCCTCTGATGTGCCAGTGATGTTCTAAGAAGTATTTCATGGGTTTTGTCCTTCAATCTGTGCAAAGGCCCTGAGGCAGCATCATTGCTATGTCCATGGAGATGGACTGGGGAATAGGATACAGAGGCCAAGAGTCTCACTCAGGGTTGTGCATAAACAGAGGCAACTCTCATGAAAAGGGAGCTGCCTCTGTCTCCTTCCCCAACATTTTCTCCAGTTAATCTCATCCTCACTGCAGCGCCCCAGACTCCCATGGTCTGTGGATGCTCTCTCCTGTCTCCATGCCTATGCACATGCTGGCTCTTTCTCCTGGGATGCCCTTCCCTGGCCAACTTTCCCTCAGCCTGCAGGCCCAGTGCAAGTGTCGTTGACGGCAGTCCCTCTGCCGGAATGACTGGCTGTCTTCTTGCCTCTCCCGATGACCTCTGTCGTGTTGGGCACCTCAGTGTGTGGATTACTCCTTGTTCCAGAGAATCTGTGTGGAGCAGCTGCAGAGCCTCTCTCTCTCCTCTAGGGCAGCAGTGTCACAAGGAAGGCAACCGGCAGGGACAAGTGAATGTTGGTGGCCGTGGATCTCCTGCCCCACGCACACTCACTGTGGCATCTCTCCTGCTCTCTCACAGCCTGGCGTGGGGTTCCTTTACCTGCTGCATGGCAGCCTCTGTCACCACTCTCAACTCCTACACCAAGACAGTCATTGAGTTCCGGCACAAGCGCAAGGTCTTTGAGCAGGGTTACCGGGAGGAGCCGACCTTCATCGACCCCGAGGCCATCAAGTACTTCCGGGACAGGTCAGTGCATGGCGCCCCCTCTGGCCACCACTGGGAATCTGAGGCCCAAGGCCTGGCCTCTGACATCACAGCCCCTTTGAAAACGCGAGGGAGCGCCCCACACGTGTCTTGGGGGCTGCTCTGCAGGGCCAGGGGGGCGGGCTGTGGGAGGTGGGGTTTGACTCACTGTGCTGCAACTACTGGGGCACTGAAGGTTTTGTGGGGCACAGGGTTGCCTTTGTCTTGTGTGGTTGGACCATGGGAAAGCCAGAAAGGGACCAAACTTGTATGCTTGTCACCCAGCCCCATGCTGCCTGGGCTGTCACAAAGGCTGACCCAAGGCTCCTTCTTGGGCTGTGTCTTGGTACTGAGAGAAAAGAAGACCCAGCCGTAAGACCCAGCCGTGGGACAGACCCAGCTGCCAGAGGGCAATGGCTCCTCCAGGTCAAGGTGGATTCTGATCTCCTGGGTCTCAGAATCCCGCTGGAGGAAGAGGAGCTGGTCATACTGGTGGCTGGATGGATGAACAGCTGGGGCGGGGTGGATAGCTAAGTGGTTAGACAGTGGTGGATGGAGGGGTGGATAGATAGTTGAGTGGCTGGATGGCTGGATGGTTAGTTGGGTGGATAGAAAACCATGTAGGTGGAGGAGTGCATGAGATAGGTCAATAGACCAGTGGAGGGAGAAGGGATGAGTGGATGGACTGACAGGCGGAGGGGTCCGTGGGGAGATGGACGGGAGGGCTTCAGAAGCTGGCGGAGCTCCTCCCAGGCAGAGCTCCTCCCAGACGCCTTTTCTGCTGAAGCCGCCTGAAGCCTGGGATTTCTGAGCCTCCCTCCAGGGACTAAGTGCCGCACCCTTCTCTCTCTGCGGCTCTCCTGGCTCCGTCCAAAGCTGCTCCTGTGGGTCAGCTGCCATGAGTGCTCCCGTGACTCCCACCTGCTCCCCCCCCGCTTCTCTGCCTTCCCCGGCTGTGAGAAGCACAGGTCTGTCCCTGTAGCACAGCCTGGTACTCCGGCTGCTTCCCTGGCCCCCGTCAGTTGATGGCAGCAGGGGTGGGGACAGGGTGGCTCTGGCTCACGTCCCACCCAGCCCGACCTGCCTGGGCACTCTGCTCCCTGCGTGTCCTTTTGAGCTGACTTTTAGTGTGGTGGTGCTGGGCTGGGTCCCAGGGCCTGGCGGTGCTGACCAGCCTGGGAGGAGCGTGAGACAGCTGTCCTACGCCAGGGCCAGCTATGGCCATTGGGTGTGGAGCACCCTGTGTGCTGGGACTTCGTGCTATGCCTCTCGGTGCAGGGAGATCTGCTTGCCTCAGAGCAGCAGAGAGCCTTCCTTAACGTTGCCCGGGGTGCGGAGAGGGTTGGGCACCCAGTGCGGCTGTCTCCAACGTCAAAGAAATTCAGAGGTGGCAGTGTCCCCAGGGGGATCCAGCCACCCCCACAGAGGAGCAGAGTTGGGACAGGCCCAGATGGTGGCACTCGGGGCTTCCCTGCTGAGAACCCCGCCCTCAGCCTGGCTGTCGGACCTGTCCCGCCCTCGTGGCTGGCAGGTGCCGGAGACTGAGGCTAGCAGGCCGCTGCTGTGGGCTGCAGACCCAACTTCCTGCCGCCCGGCCCACAGTCTGAGGCTGCACCCCCCGGGGAGACTGCTGCGGGGTGACCCTGGCTGCACAGAGCAGGAACTTCACGCTGTTTACTGTTCCTTCCCTTCCAGGCCCCCTTCCCCCCTCCCTACCCATATTTCCTGGAATAAGCCACACCTCCCAGTAAGCTGCCTGTACCAGATCCTCTGCACAGGTCTGCTTCTTGGGGAAGGAAGGAGACCTGCAGTCAGGCCTTTCAGAGTTGCAGGGAAGGAGAGGGAAAAGGGGGCTACAGACTGGAGCATGGAGGAGCTGATTCTCCTTGGGACATGAGGGAGGGTTTCAAGCAGAAGGGTTGTATGGTGTGCCACAGTGGGCCCCTCTCTGATGGTCAGAACCCTTCTCTGATTGTCACCATGTCTTTTCTCTTCCGTGTGGGCTCCTTTCTGTCCCTCAAAGGCCCCAAGCTCACCTCCACCTCAGGGCCTTTGCACATGCATTGCTGTCCCCTGGAGTACTCCCCTCACTCAGCCTGGTCTCGGCTGTTAGGGGATCTTTGCCTAGTCACTTGGTTTGACTTTGCACACTACTACTGTTTTCTCCAAGTCCCTGGAGGGTGCAGTTGCCCAGAGCCAGGCAGGAGTTCAGCCCCAGGCTGGGCGTCTGTGGCCAAGAAAGCAGGTGACATCACAGCCAGGCTCCCCCTGCCCCAGCCCTGGAAACATCGGCACAGCCCAGGTCCCAGAGCCAGCGCTTGGTGTTTGTAGCACTCAGCTGCCACTGCCACAGCAGTCATGTCTGAGGGGTCGCCCAGCCTCTCTGTCCCCGAGGGCAGTGGCTGTGCTGCACCCTGGTTCCGGCAGCACCAGGCAGCTCCCACCAAGGTGAACGCTTCACCAGCATATGCCGAGTGTCGCTGGCGTTACGCGAAGGTTCGTCAGCATTTCTTTCCCTCTCCTCGGAGCAGAACGCTTCCACATTTCAGCTGGGCTGGGCCATTCCATTTTTTCCTTTTCGTCGCCTTCCCACAAAGAGCTCAGTGCTCACAGGTCTCTGCACTGGGGTGGAGTCCCAGCGGCCGGGGTCCTTGCAGCTGCAGCGGGGACCCGAGGAAGGGGCACAGGGGCCCCGGCGCTCTGTCTCCTGTTCCTCAGCGGACAGAGGGTGCCATGAAAGGAGCAGGTCTGTCGGGCCCCCCCGAGCCCTTCTGCGCCCGTTTCCTCTGCCCACGGTGGGTGGGAGAGTTCGGAGCTCTTGGGATCCCAGGAAGGCTCCGGTTTGATGCCCATGTGCCATGCTAGGCACAGCGCCAGGTGCACAAGGGCTCTGAGTGTGTGTGAGAGTTCCTGTCCCTGCTGCTGCTGCCCCCGGGCCCTGGAGTTAAGCACGAGCTAACCGCATCCTGGGCTGGAGACCAAGTGGTGTCCTGAGGCGCTGCTGGTGTTCTAGGAGCTGCCGTGGCTCATCTTGGAGAGGTAACTCCCGACCGCCTCACGCGGGACTTGGTTAGTTTCCGCAGAGCCTTGTGAGCTGTCAGCATTACCGCTGTCCCCATTGTACAGGTGCGAAACAGGACCAGAGAGGTGAAGTGACTGCTGAGTGCTCTTGCAGGGGTCTAACCCAGGCCACGCAATCCCCGTGCTGTGCTAGTCTCTGGGGTCTGATCAGCTCCCTGCCGACGCAGGGCTCCCAGCACATGGCTGGTGAGGGCTGCCGCAGCTCGGGGCTCACGATTCAGGGGCAGTCTGAGTGCAGGAGTGGTGCAGAGGCCTAGGACGGTTTGTGCGGTGGGCAGATGCGCGCTCTCCCTCACTCTCCACCCTGTGCAGGGAGCAGCCTTAGTCCCCATCGCTGTGACAAAACACCCGGGACGCCGTGAAAGAGGCTCCTGGTTCAGTCCATGGTCAGTGGGCCCCGTTAGGCCCGTCGTGGGGCAGAAACATGGTGGAGCCAGTGGCGCTGGCAGGAGGCTGAGGTGGGAAGATCAGAGGTTCAAACCCAGCCTGGGCAACTCAGTAACTCAGTGAGACTCTGTCTCGAAATAAAAAAATAAAACAAGGGTTGGGGGATATAGCTCTGTGCAGAGGCCCTGGATTCAGTATTCTGTACTAGAAAAGAGAAAAGAAAAGAAAAGAGCCAAAGCAAAGCATGGTAAAGGAAGCTGCTTGCTTGCGATTGGCAGTCTGTAGAGCAGGAAGAGAGGCCGGGGAGAGGGGCCGGGCCAGGCGGAGCCCCGCGCTCACCCCCACTCCCTTCGGCTAGGACCTTCCCGCAGTGCTGACAAATGCAGCCTCCTCACGGTCACGGGATTATTCTACCTGGCGATGTCAGCTCTCCTGGTCAGCTCCCCTCTGGTCTCCACCTCTGGGCGCGGCTGCCGGGCAGCGTGGCTCTCCGGCCCGCGTCTTGGAGACACCCACCCACTCCGCCGACTCTCGTGCTGTCCTGGGCACGGGGCAGGTGCCCGTGGGCCTCACGGCAGAGGCGTTGAACGGCCCTTCCCAGCACCCAGGCCTGAGGGCCCCCTGCGGGATGAGGAGCAGTGGGGCTGGAAAGGCTGTTGGGCCCCTCACGGCAGAGGCGTTGAACGGCCCTTCCCAGCACCCAGGCCTGAGGGCCCCCTGCGGGATGAGGAGCAGTGGGGCTGGAAAGGCTGTGCGTGCGTGCGTGCGTGCCCACTCTCGTGTGGAGCGCAGTGCACACATGTGCTGCTTCCAGGCCGCGCCTGTCTCTGAGCAGCCTCACTGGCCCCAGCTCTGAGGCATCCGGATTGACTCACCCCGGTCGGATCGCTCTGCCGCAGTCCCCAGGAAGGCGTTTTCATTGCCCCCAGGGGAGGGCTGGAAGTTGTTGAAGGAAGGGCAAATATTTGCAGATCGGGCTTTCTGGAATACTTAATCCTCAGATCAGGTTTAACAGTGTGAGGAAGAAAATGAGAGCTGTTGGCCTCAACTCCAGGGATCCAGCCCTGTGCAACAAGCTACTCCCCTCACCTCGGCTGAGACAGCAGACACAGTGAGTGTGTGTGTGTGTGTGTGTGCACGCGCGTGTGTCCGTGCCTGCGTGTATGTGTGTGTGTGCATGTGTGCAAGGCCTCTAGCTTCTGCTCCCTCTGCTGCAGTATGGGTCTAAACCTGCTTGTGAGCTGACTTACTCCCGGCTTCTCCCTGCCCCTTCTCTGTGCTTCAGGAGAGCAGGGAGCCCATCCCTCTGACCCAGCTCCTAGACCCGGGCTGAGCAGAGCCCGCGTGTGCTCCCTGTGCCCGTGATCAGGAGAAGCCACAGTGCAGCCCTGTTCCGGTGGGTGGGGCTCTTCTCCCGCCCGCCACTCTCTAGCTACCTGGGGCTGTGGCCAGCACCAGTGACACTACACTTCCGGTCTGAGGCTGGGGTCCCCTCTCCCTAACACGCCCAGCCCACGCCCTGTGTGGGACGGGCGGACACACTCCCTGCAGGGAGGGCCCTGTGGTGCGTTGCACACTTACATCTCTTGAAGGATTCTACGTGAAGGTGTACTTTGGCCAGTTGGATGGCTTTAAAATCTTAAATTTGGCTGTCATTTGGAAAGTCAGGGTTTCTTCTTCCTCATGAGGAGCAGATCTGTCCACACAGGGCCCATGTTCCCGAGTGGCTGTGGTGGCCGAGGGCACGCAGCTCAGCGAGCACAGCAGGTCTGCAGGTGGCTCTGGGAAGGAGGCTTTGCCCCGGCTCCTGGGAGGCTGAATAGAATAGAGGAGACCCCGAGCCAAGTCTCTCCAGACCCGTGAAGTGCCCGCCAGACGGCTCGGCCGAGGGAGGGTGGCACGAGTGGGGCAGGAAGGCCAGACCGGGTGTGTTTGGGTGCTCTCTGGGAGGAGGGTCGGGGCGGCACCCCGAGGTCTCTGTCCTCCGTGGTGTTTGGGGTGGGCTCCTGGGTGCAGCTCTGTGGCTGTTACTGGGCTGGATTTGCAGAGAGAGGGAGAAGATGGGGTGAAGAGCCCCTCCCTGGGGCCTGACCCGGTTTTGCACAGGGAAGGGCAGTGCAGCCCCCACCCAGGCTCTTACACACGTGCACACACAGAAACATGCACGCGCACGCACGCCCTGCAGCTGCTCTCCCGCTGCTGTGGGGACATTTGGAAGGCTGTCTCCGCGTCCTCACCTCCTACTCTCTGCACGGCCCACTCCAATCTGGCTCCCACCTCCTCACACCACCACTCCTCTGTCGGCAGCCTGCTGCGACACACTCGCTGTGACTGCTCTTTCCCGGGGCCTCGTGAGCTGCTCCCCCTGGTGCTGGTGCCCTCCCGGGGCCTCTGTTCTCCCCGGGTCAGGTTTGGTTTTTTTGGGGGGGTACTGGGAATCAAACTCAGAATCTTGAGTTTGCCAGGCAGGCACCGTGCCACTGAGCTGCACCCACCCCATGTCAGGTTTTAACCCCTCTGCCCTCCTCGCCCACTGTCACCTGCAGTGGCTACATGGCCAAGGCCTCCCACATTCCCAGAGGCCACCCCATGCTGCCCGATGCCACGCCTAATTGTCGCCTTGGGTCCCCACTTTGGATTCTCAGGACCACAAATCAACGTCCATGGCTCATTCGTGACATTTGTCCCCACACCTGCCTGTTTCTGCTTCTCTCTCCAGGATAACCGCACCGCGTGAGCCTCTCCTCCCCATGCTCTGTGTCCTCGTCACCACAGGCAGCACTTCCCCCAGCAACACCCTCCTCCGTCTCTGCCTGTGGCTTCACTTCTGGTTTTCAAGCGACCCATGCTCTTCTAAGATCCAGAAATATTAAATGAAAATTTCAGGAAGACACAATTCATAAGTTTTAAGTAACTTTTGTGGTAGCATGTTGGTGTAATCTTTATGGTTTGAATCCAAGTGGGCCCCTGCAAGAGTGTGTTCTTGTCCCCAGCCTTCCCTCTCTTGCTTTTCCTTGCTCCACCCTGATGTTTCTGCCTTGGAGCCAGCTGACCATGGACTGAGCCTTCTGCAACCATAAACCAGCCTTTCTTCCTTGTGTGTGGCAGATGTTTTGCTCCAGCAGTGGAAGGGTGACCAATGCGTCACTTGATTTTATTGAACCATCATTAGGTCTTCTTGTTAGTCTCTTGCTGTGCCTACGTTAAAAGTTAAACTGCGTCACAGGTCTGTACGTATCGGGAAAACACAGGGTATATAGGGCTGGGTACCCCCGCAGTTTCAGGCATCCACCGGGGTCTTTGACTGTCTTCCGTCAGGGGAGGAGGCCCGCTGGGGTTCCTCTCTCTGTGCTCATCATCCCCCGTCCAGGCTGCATCCAGCACCTGGGTGAGTCCAGCCACCTCCGACACCATCTTTCCAAGCCAGTTTTTGCCCTTCCGACCCGCTCCCCGCCCTCAGCAGCCAGTCGCCTCTTCCGTGTGCTAGTGTGACGGGATGAAGTGTGGTCCATCGTCCTGTGTAGATCCCTGGTGTGACTTCCACAGCCTCCCGGCACAGGGCAGCTCCTCGCCCTGACTTCTGAGCATTGCCCTGTGCCCAGCCACCCCGCTGTGGTTTCTTGCCATGTCCTGCGGTCTCCAGAGCTCTGACCTGCTTTCCCTGCCCGAGTGCCCCCCAGCGTCTCCCGTTTCTGACCAAGTACGGTGTCCCCACTGACTGCTCCCCATGCCGCCCGCAGGCAGGGCTGTGGGAGGGATTCTGACGTCCAGTGCAGAGGCCTGCAGGACGCCGGAGGAGCCGGTTAGAAGCCGATTAGGGAGGGGAGGGGTCTGGGATTCCACTGCCATTAGGGAGTGTTTGTGTTTCCAAGGAATGATTTCGACCCATGCCGTCCTCAGGATGTGTGAGTCCAGCCCAGTGGTGCAGACACGAGCTGTAAAGATCAGGCCCCGGTGCTGACACTGGATAACTGGACCTTCTGTTATTTTCCAAATGCTTTGTGTTATGATTATACGACACAAAAATGGCAGAAGGCAAAAAAGAATCTTTTAAAAGCTCCACTTACTTTTCCCCTATCTTGGGGTGGCCCCTTTGATGGGATGTATGGAATCTAATTTATTACCCACAGTCATTTATTTGCCAGAACTCCGTTTAATTCCATTCTTCATTCCATTGCAAATGGATCATTGAAACATCCATGCGCTCTGTGTCGCCACTGTTTCCTGGTTATGTCACCTCCGAGCCGTGCTCCCTCGCAGCCCCGGCTCGCCCGTCTGTTTCTCGGCTTGCGTGTCACTCCTTGGGCAGCACCTGCGCAGGGCCTCGGAAGGCACTGTGTGTTCCTGAGGGGAGCGTGGGGCTTGGAGCGAGAGGCGGCTCCTGTGATGAGGCTGCTGACTTCGCCAGTGTGCAAGGAAGGCAGAGAGTGTGGTTGGTCCCGGAAGCTGGACAGGATGGAGGTGGGCGGGAGGAGCATCTGGAAGGCACAGCTGGGAGCAGTGACAGCTCCCTGCACTCCCGTGCTTCCTCGGAATGTCAGCCAGCCAGAGGGAGAACGAGGTGTCCAGACTTCAGCGCGCCAGCCCTGCAGGACGCCCGCCTGTAACCAGGACAGTGGGAAGAGGGTGACCCGAGCCCGGGCTTAGCAGAGCCCCACACTCGTCCATAGCCTCAGCTGCCGTTGGGGACCAACAGCAGGGGCCTCACCCTGGAGCCCGTTAGAAATGCAGAGTCTCAGCCCCCCACCCCCCACTTGCCACTCAGTCTGCGTGGCCACAGCTCCTCGGGCCATCTCTGGGCCCCCTGAAGTCTGGAAAATGCTGGGCTGGGGAACAGAGAGATGCAGCCCTGTCCAGGGGCCAGGAGGTGAATGTGACCAACGAGGCCAGCAGAAGAGGAGGGGCCTGCAGACCAGGGCCACTCCGAGTTCGTCCCTGTGCTGGTGCCCATTGCAAACTCCTGCCGGATTTCAAGACACTGGAGCCCAGCAGATACTTCTGAACAGTTCACCATCCCTAGGACAGCCATGCTTGCCTCTTGCAGACCGCTGTGGGCTCTTGGGGCAGTGGACCTCACAGTAGCACACATGTGTCAGGTGCACCCACTGAGAACCCCAGCCTGTGGGGCAGCCCCGGGCTGCTGTGGGAACATGCTGGGGCTCCAAGGACTCAGAGACATGAGTTCAAATCCCAGCCGTGCCAGTGGCCAGCTGCAGGCTGGAGCCAACCAGGAGCTGCACGGGCCTCCATTGTACCCATCTCCACCGACTCCTCACTCAGGGGTGACTCAGGAATAGCTGTCACATCGGCCCCGGGGTGTGGGGCATTTTCCCCCATAAATGTCCCCAGACACCAGGCACTGGGGGTCTTTTCCTATCACAGAGCCATGTGCTAATGTTTACCTCCACGTCATGGACTCCGTGCATTGCAAATCCACCTCAGCTTCAGTTTTCCTGTCTGTGAATCGAGGATGATGTTACTGACGTCTGGTTCCCGCCACCTTCCCTGGGTCACACCCCATGACCCTGGACCGAATCTTTCCTTCTGCTCAGACTGTCCCTATGCCATCTCCTCCAGGGCCAGAGGCTGTGCTGGGCCCCCTGTTCCCTCCTTCTGTGCTGAATCCAGAGGGCTTACATACCCTGAAGCCTCTTTCCTGCTCTTCTCACACATCCCTTTCTTTGGGCCATCACACCAAGAGATCTAAGTGATGAGGTGGAAGGGGAGATACTGGTTACTGTTAAAGTCAAGGCCCTTCCACCTCTGGAACTGCCAGGTGGTGCAGAATGTGGTCACAGCAAGTTTGTTGAGGACCCTAAGGGCCCAGAGGGTCACACCACGGTAACAGCGATGCCAAGCCCAGTGACCATGGTGCTGCTGGGCAGTGTCCCAAGTACTCAAGATATGCTAAGCTCTTCGCGCATTACTTTGCTCCATCCTGACAGCATTCCTAAGCTTGGGGACAGGAGAGGCCCATTTATCAGATGGGGAAATCAAGACTCACTGACCATAAGGGATGCATCCGGGCTGAAACACCTGGTAAGAGGTGGACCCACCCCTCTAGCTGGGAGGGATGTGACGACCCTGGGTGTCCGGTCCCCCTGCTGCAGTTCTGCCACTGTCCCATGTTCAGCATGCCCCTAACCCTTCAGGGTCCTTATGTGGGTAATTTCTCACATCATCATTCAGAAAGAAGGAAAATGGGGGAGAGAGAAAGGACTATCTTCAGAAGACACTTACTTCCTGCAGGAAATTTCAGTGCAAATCAGAATGATCAGCTCATGACATTTGCAGCTGTTTGTTTTCAGCACAGAGCTCAGCATTCCTGGGACCCTTGGCAGCCTCCCCCAGCTGTGGCTTCCTGACTTCTTGGGAGACTCTTATGCTACTTGAGATACTTTGTTACTCAAGATACTTTGTTACTCTAGATACTTTGTTACTCTAGATACTGTTACCTGAGACACTTTGTTACTCTAGATACTTTTATCTGAGATACTTTGTTTCTCTAGATACTTTGTTACTCTAGATACTGTTACCTGAGACACTTTGTTACTCTAGATACTTTTATCTGAGATACTTTGTTTCTCTAGATACTTTGTTACTCTAGATACTGTTACCTGAGACACTTTGTTACTCTAGATACTTTTATCTGAGATACTTTGTTTCTCTAGATACTTTGTTACTCTAGATACTGTTACCTGAGATACTTTGTTACTTCCGATACTGTTACTCCAGATACTTTGTTACCTGAGATAGTTTGTTGCTCCAGATACTTTGTCACCTGAGATATTTTGTTGCTACAGATACTTTGTTACCTGAGATACTTTGTTACTCCAGATACTTTTTTTTTTTTACTTGATATATCTTGTGCCAAGCACTATCAGACCCTAGCCACTGAGACCAGCTCCATCCTTCTGAATTGAAAAGATCTGTGGGAAGGTAGACTATTAAGGAAGATGATGATGTTGTGGGGGTGTTTGTTTGTTTGCTTTTTGTTTTTTGCTTTTTTTGGTACCAGGATCGAACCTTGGACCTTGTGCTTTTGAGGCAGGCATCGGAACTGCTGAGCTAAATCCCCAGTCCCATGATGTTGTTTTCTGGTTTTTGGAGACAGTCTTGCTATGTAGCCCAAGCTGGCCTTGAACTCATGATCCTCCTACTTCAGCCTCCCAAGTACTGATATCACAGGCATAGGCCACAACACGAGGCTATTAAGCGTGTTTAAAATCCGGAGGTATGAACATATTCTGAGACCTTGGTCCATGACGGGACCTGGAGTTTAGTTCTTGGACAACTAGGTTTAATCCATGAAGGTGACGATGTTAGTGGTGTTACTTTCAATACTACAGCCACTACTGCCATCCCAGTGGCACCTAGAAGAGGAAGAAAGGTGACACTCTGAGTGGCCAGGAGCTGCAGTCACAGAGCTGGGCTCCACCTCAGCTCCTGCTCACTCCGGGGCCTGAGAACTCATGGTGCCCAAAGCTTTCCCTTGGCCCTGCTGGTCCCTTGCAGGAGTCCTCTTGTCTGATGGCCATAGAGGGGTCATCAGTTCTTGCCCACACCCCTGCCAGGCTCAGCCTTGCCCCCGGAGCTGCCAGACCCTGCAGAGCCTAAAGAGCTGGGGTTTTCATCAGTGAATTGTGAGTTAAGGACTAAGTTTGTGCAAGGAAACCAGCTCTTTCTGGAACCACAGCATGGCAGAAAAACAGGCTGATTCCTCTGAGAGGTTAGCAGCCGGGTGGCTTTCAGGAGGCAGCTGGAGGAGGCTGGTGGCACTCAAGCATCCCTAACCCTGGACACCCACTGCAATGCTGGGGGATGACTTTAATCCTCCACTGTGAGTTCAGCCAGGTGAGAGCCATGGGACTTGGCCACGGGTTATAATGCAAACCTCCCTCGAGCTAAATCCCATCTGCCACCTGCTGCAGCCAACAGCCACACCCGTATCCTCTGCATTTTGGGCCAAGGGCCAGAGTTGAGCAGCTGTGACAGAGACAATAAGGCTGCGCAGCCTGGAATATTTACTGTTTGGACCTGTGCAGATGGAGTCTGCCAACCCCTGGCTGCAAGCCTGTCTGCTCTGCCAGCCTCCTGAACAGCTTCCCAGCTTCCAGCACTGCCTGTGAGGCCAGAGTCCATGGCTGTAAACGGGTGCACTTCTGAGAGAGAGCCTGTCTGGGGTGTCCTGTGGCCCCTGCCCAGCACAAGGCCTGACCTCCGGGCGCCAGCTCTTCATTCACTTTTTATTTTGAGACAGGGTCTCGCTAAGTCACTAAGTTGTCCAGGCTGGGCTCGAACTTGCATTACTCCCTTGTCAGCCTCCCAGAGCACTGGGATCGCCGGCATGTGTCACCACACCCGGCTTCAATTAGGGCCTTCTTGGTGACACAGTAAGGTGGCCAGGGAGGGTAGGAACCACACTGGGGTCAACGGCTGTCTCCCCAGATGTTTCCCTTTGCTCACTGCGCCCCTCTTCCCAGGCTGGAGGCTGGAGGCTGAGCCAAGGAGGCTCCCAGCACAAGGTCTGGAGCATGTGAGTCTGTAGATGAGAAATGAGGAGACCCGGGCCGTTACTAACCTCGGAAGTGGCTCAGGGCTCAGAACCCAGGAGGACGCGGGGGGCTTACACATGGCAGCCGTGTCATCCACGGGCCCAGGTGGTGCTGCAGAGGGGTGGGGCTCAGCCACCCGGCCTCCCCACCAGGGTCTGTAGCTGTAGACACTGCACCCTTGAGCACCTCTGGTAACGGAGCACTCGCTACCTGGCCGGATGTACAGGACGTTTGGGAAAGGAGAACTTTAGACAACTCTGAATGTCTCCCAGCAGGGCACTGAATACGAATCACTCTCACATGGGGCAAAGGATGAATGGGATGGGAAAATGCTGAAAATTTCTGGGTAAATGAAACAATCCGGTTACAAAACAGTACATTCAATTCAAGCCTCTTTGTATCTCAAAAAAGTATTAATTCTGAAAAGATGAGCCCCAACTTCTATCCAGAAGAGTCTTTGG